TTTCCTTGACTATTCTCTAGAAGGAAGTCTACAAAATCCAAATCTGATGTTGACGAATCTGGATTCTGGCTCATTCTCAGTTTTAGATATTTCTTGCAGTAAAGAAAATTAACTGGGGAACTTGGCTCTATGTTCTAACACTGAGTGTTTGGTACCCAGGACCCTCCCCCTTAACTGCACCTGCTTCTCCCTAGAGCCTCCCATGGTAAGAACGAGTCGGAAGGAAATTTTCCCAGGGACTACAGCTCTCTTCTGTAGAGCTCATGGCTTTTACCCACCAGAAATTTCCATGACGTGGATGAAAAATGGGGAAGATATTGCCCAAGAAGTGGATTATGGAGCCGTGCTTCCCAGTGGGGATGGAACCTATCAAATGTGGGTGTCCGTTGATCTGGACCCTCAGAGCAAAGACATTTATTCTTGTCATGTGGAGCACTGTGGCCTCCAAATGGTTCTTCAGGCCCCTCAGGGTAAGTGTGGGGGTGGTGGCTGTCTGGGGAGCAAGACTGAGGAAAGAGATGGGAAGCTGAGAATCCTGGAAGGAAGGGAGGCTGGGCCACTGCCTCATCAGGTGGGTGGAACAATAGCAACAGCTTTTTTTTTTTTTTAAGATTTTTATAATTCACTCACCCACCCACCCCCCGGAGCTGAGGACCGAACCCAGGGCACGCTCTACCACTGAGCTAAATCCCCAAACCCTGATTTTTATAATTTTTATTTTTAATTTAAAGGTTTTTTTTTTCTTCCCATTTTATGTGTGAGGTTTTTTTTTGCCTGCTTATATGGCTGTTGCACCACATGTATACGGTGTCCACGATGGCCAGAAGAGGCCATTAATTCCCCTGGACCTAGAATGATTAATGGTTGTTAGCTACCATGTGTGCTGGGAATCCAACCTAGGACCCTTGGAAGAGCAGCTTCTGCTCTTAATCACTGAGCCATCTCTCCAGCTCCAACAATGGTTCTTCTCAATCAGTGTTTCTCAGTGTTTAATTCCCGTGCTCATCTATAGTCTTATGAACTACTGAGAACCTCAAGCAGCTATCATTTGTGTAGGTCATACCTGTTGCTGTTTTCTATATTACAAATTACATTTTTAAAAATAGCTGGACAGTGGTGGTGCATGCCTTTAATCACAGCACTCGGGAGGCAGAGGCAGACGGATCTCTGAGTTCAAGGCCAGTGTAGGCTACAGAGCAAGTTCCAGGACAGCCAGGGCTACACAGAGAAACCCTGTCTTGGGACTAAATAAGTAAATATAAGAGAGCATGGGCATGTATTCCACTTGCTGTCAGATGATGAGGAAGAAGGGATGACGGGAAGCTTCCTGATCATCACAGTGACGAGGTTAATGCAGGCGGGAGAAGCAACTTGGAGGTGTTTCTCATTTACTTACTCACAGAATCAGGAAGCATTCTTCTAGTGGTGAGCACGGTCTCTGGGACCATAATCCTCACCATTGTCCTGGCTGGAGTTGGTGTTCTGACCTGGAGAAGGTTCCGGCGTGAGAGGCATGACGGACTGTAGAGGCTGCTTGTGGTCCCCCTGCTGCGGCTCCCGAGACTTCTGTTTACTGTATCTGCCTCGTGAGTTCCATGCAGAGATGGGATGACCCTCATGTTCGGGTCACTGGAGGGCCTGGGACAACGTTCCCCCTCTATAAAGAAAATACCGGTGAATTTTCCTGTTTCCACAACCATTCTTCTATCCCAATTATATGAAAGTCCTCCTCCTGCAAGATTTATTTCTTGGAATATGAAATGTTTAAAAGTAGATGCCTTTGGAAAGCAGAACTTGAGATAAGGAAGTGGGGAAGGAGAAGCAGGAGATGTGCTTTTGATGGCATAGACAATAAACCCATCCATTAAACGTGTATTACAAGTCCTGCTTTAGGCACCGTACTGGCTCCTGGGAATATCAGTGAAAAAGGCAGGCCTGATCCCGTGTCATAGAGCTGATGGCGTAGTCTTGAAAGGTCATTTCCTATCTCTGGTTCACTGGTTACTCAAGCTAGTCACAGCAAATATCAGTGAAACACGGATCAGGCTCAGAAGCCGGTGGGCAGGAGCTTGCCTTTTCTTGACAGTCATGGGCTGGAGCCCAACCCAAGTGATACTGTACATGTGTGGTACTAGGTACCAGTGGGGCCGATCCATCTGTTGTTGATTGTTTTTTACTCTTTGCTCTTTTGGCTTTTTGGGGGGCCCACTACCCAGCTCCCAAATAAATCACACACAGGGGCTTATTCTTTCTTATGAATGCCTAGCCTTAGCTTGTCTTGTTTCTGGCCAGCTTTTCTTAAATTATCCTGTCTACCTTTTGTCTCTGGGCTTTTACTTTTCTCTGTTCTGTATTTTTCTTTTTCTTTACTTCTTTCTCTGTGGCTTGCTGTGTAGCTGGGTGGCTGGTCCCTGGATTCTTCCTCTCCTCCTCTTTCTCGCTCCTTGATGTTTTCTTCCCAAATTTCTCCTTCCATTTATTCTCTCTGCCTGACAGCCCCACCTATCCTTTCTCCTGCCTAACTATTGGCTGTTCAGCTCTTTATTAGACCAATCAGGTGTTTTAGACAGGCAAAGTAACACAGCTTCACAGAGTTAAAAAAATGCAGCATCAAAGAATGCAACACATCTCTGCATTATTAAACAAATGTTCCGCAGTATAAACAAATGTAACACATCTTCAAATAATATTCTACAACATCCATTTGCTAGAAAACCAACTAAGATAGCTGGTGGGTGAGTAATGTTTACATTATAGAGTAAAATATGAATCCTAAACCAACTAATACATGCATCTCAAGAAGAAAGTTCCTGCTTTTTATCTTCTGCAATTTGTAAATTTTGAATTAAAATTTGTCAAGTTCTAAGAGAACCTTGAGAAAGGCTAAAACTGTCAGTGGCTGCTTCTAGATTTTGCTGAATATTGCATATATTTTGAGCTGTGAGGAAGAACACATGTAACTGACTAAAAACGTCTTTTCCTTTCAGAGCAAAAGGAAGTCATCTACCATCCCGCACAAGCCAATGAGTGCATCTCTCTCTCGGGAGCCATGATCTCTGCTCCCAGGCACCCGCGTGTCTGTGGTCGGAAGTCTCCACCTTACTCCTGACACAGTGGGGAATAAAGAATTAAGCATTTGTAATAAGAAGACCCAAGCTACACATTTTTCTTTGTTCTTTGGCTCCTAAAGAGCTGCCAGTGTTGAGGCTGTTTATGGACTCCTTTATCACAACCAACTTCAAATACAGTCTGCCTCATGACCCAGTACTTCCCAACATCTTATTTCTCCACGGTGATTTACAAGTAGATTACAGAGTCTCAGAGCTGCAAGGAACTTTCTCATCCTAGCAGGAGATGTCTTCCTATAATGCCATAGACTTGGGCATCCAGCCTTCGCTTGACACCATGTGAGGGTACCCTATTCCACCACATAACAGCCTTTCTTGTTCATCTTCTCTCATGAGAATGTTTACCATGTAAGAACTTTGACTATCATGGCTATCATGACTGTGAATCTATAAGTAGGGTTGGACCAGCCCATGAAAACAGCCACCAAGTTTCTACAACAGCCTGTGAACGGACTAGTCATTAAACACAAATTATGGCCCAAGAAGAAACAGAAGCAGCCTGTTCATGGCGGCTCTGCCAGATAGCTTGGAATATTGGAAGTGTGTCTAGCTGGGTCTATGGCAATGGCTTCACTTTTACTGCTTCTGTGAGAAATTAGAACAATAATTTATCAAGCTGAATGTGCTGGGACTCCTTATTATAAGCCAGTGCTCAGGAACCTGAGGCAGGTGGACCGTATGTTTAGGGATAGCTTGAGCTACTCAATGAAACTCTATTTAAAACAAACAAAAACAAAAACAAACAAACAAACAAAAAAAAACAACCATTAACTGACTCCTGAAAGTTGTTCTCTGACCTCCACATGAGTGCCATGGCACAAATACACTAAATAAATAAATGTAAACATCTTATAAATATGGCAGTGTGCTTATGTCTCAAAAAGAGTCCCCTCCTCCCCTTTTGGTGTTGGAGACTGAATTAGTACAGAAAAGATAGAAGCTAGAATTGATCTTTTTGGGACTAAGTGTGTAGCCCAGTGGTGTAGCTCAGAGAGCTTCCTTAGCATGTGTGAGGTCCAAGGGTCAGTCTTCAGCACTTCAAAAACACGCGCGCGCACACACACACACACACACACACACACACACACTCACCACCACCACCACCACCACCACCAACAACAACAACAATAACAACCAAACAAACAAAAACTAAAACTTTAGATCTTTCTTTTTCTGTAAGTGGTTTAAAATTATATTGTTTCTTAATACTATTAGACTTGCCATTGAATTAATTCATGTTTACTGATTACAGATGTACAGTAACCAAGGTCCACGAACAATGTGGTACCATAATCTAAGTGTGACAGAGAACTTCACCACCACTTCAATTATGCTTAGGCTTTGAGTTGTCTTTGCTGAATGTTTTAGATCAAGAACACTACATGAAGAACATGTTTGACTGGTTTTGTTTTAAACTCCATTTATTATCTGTTTTCTCTTTAGCATGTACAGACCAAGGTTTTGTCTAGAAAATGGCAAATGCGGCAAGGAAGAAGGGAAGCGGTTTAAAGAGCAGTAGAGAGTCTAGTCAATTGTTAGACTACTGGATCAGCCTTCAGAAGCCCTGGGTTCAATTCCCAGGGTAACATAAAACCAGGCATGACAACACACACCTGTAATCCCAACACCTGGAGATGGAGGCAGGAGGATCAGGGGTTCAAAGTCATCCTCAGCTACATAGGGAATTGAGATACATGAGACCCTGTTTTAAAAAAAAATAATAATAATAAAATAAAAGCAAGGAGGTGACAGGTTTCCTGATGCCCTCCTTTACCTTGTCTTGTTCCAGCAATTTCCATGTTCTGACCCCGCCCTCATCGCTGAGGAACTGCCAATTTTTTTTCCTCTTCTCTGTTTTTTGGATGGAGAGAAGAGTGTTTTTACTTTCTGTCATAAGGTCCGTTAGTTGGTCATTTTTCTGGCAGGGTCCCATGAGGTAGTCGTATTTTGGTCACCCCGGCCTGAAGCTCTGTCTTCATATGAGCAGGTCAAGTGTTCCCATGTGGGAGTCGGATGGATGCGTGAGGAGGAATACCAAACGCCAATGCATTCACTTGCTGTCAGGAGCAGAACGGCCGCATGGGTCAGGGACTAGTTTCAGCTGGGCAGCACATCCTCTAGTGGGGGACTTTACATGAGAACAAGCACATCACAGAAAGGGGTCTGCTGACCCCAGACTCAGGGGGGCCCAGGGACATACTCTTTTACCTCCTATTTTTTCATAACAACGTATTAGTTCACAGAATGCTCTCTTGGGAGAAGGGATTTGTTTCAAGCCCTAAACAGTGGACAGCAAAGTCAGAAAGGAACTCTGGTTGTCCGTCTCCAAAACCTGAGTCTTCCAGCCCCACTCACTGGACAGCACTGCCGTCCTTAGATGATGACCTTCACTGGCCCTTCAGAAGCGCCTCTCCTCGGATGCTTGTCCTCATCTAACCTTTCTCTCTGGAAAATCTCCGCATCTCCCTTTCACTTCGGGCTCCCTTTCTTCACAGTCCTTCTAGCTTGTCATTGTCCCCAAACCCACAGGCTAAGTAACAAACCCCAAACTTAGTCGCTTCAAACAGCAATCATTTCAGCATCTTTCATGGCTCCCATAGGGCAGGCATTTGGGTAGAACTTGGGGAGGCAATGCTGGCTAGGATCCTTTCCTGAAACTGTAGACAATCGGCGACTGGAAGTAAAACAGTGAAGGACTAAGGAAGCCATGGGCACAACATAGGTTGCCTGTCGCCAAGCCAAGCCAAGCTTGCCCCAACCCCCCCCCACCCCCGGGGTTGGGGGGACCTCTATGTTGGCTCTATATGGGTTAGTTTGAGCTTCCTCACAACATGGTGGCCTTGGAGCAATCAGATTCTGTAGGCGGTAGTGAACTCCGTTCACCTGGTATCACTTTGGCCATACTCTTAGTTGGCCAAGGAAGTCACCAAAGCCTGCTCAGTTTCCAGGAGAAGAGGCATAGATCCTGACGCTCAGCAGGAAGATTGTCAAAGTAACACTATGAAGAGCATATGTAGATGGGAGTCACTATTTGCCTAACAGGCTTTGCTACAGAAAGCCTGAGGCTTCCGGTGCCTCCGTCTTTGTCTCTCAGCATGAAGGTCAAGTTCTACTGGAGGGGACAAGGTGATGCTTTTCAGTGGATTAAATGGGCAAAGACCCCAGGGTTCGTAGGTGCCCTGGGTATAAGGTTTCTGGAGAAAGTGCAGGTGCCCTGTTCCAAGGGGACATCTTGAAGCTTTCATTGTGGCCTCCCTTGTCCACCTCCCCTCTTCTTCCCATGACTGACAGGGCTGACAGAAAATGCAACACATATGTGAGTAGCTTCTCATGTAGAAAGAGAAGCTGTCTGTATATGCCACTAACAGTTTGTTGTAGGTCTTGTTTGATTAAAACACAAAATTTTGCCCAGTTTTTCCGTTTCTGTTTTGTGAACCAGCAGAGCCACAGCTAACCCATAAAGGACAGTTGTGGCCAAGACCCTGTCCAAAACAAAGACCCTGTCTTAGTTAGGGTTCCTATTGCTATGATGAAATGCCATGACTAAGAGCAACTTGGGGAGGAAAGGATTTGTTTGGCTTACACTTCCACATTGTAAACCATCACTGAAGGAAGTCATCAGGACAGGAACTCAAATAGGGAAGAAACCTGGAGGCAGAAGCTGATGCATAGAGGGGTGCTGCTTATTGGCTTGTTCATCATGACTTGCTCAGCCTGATTTCTTTTCTTTCTTTTTTTTTTTTTTCCTTTGGAGGGGGGGGCTATGGGTTTGAGACAGGATTCATCTGTATATCCTTGGCTGTCCTGGAACTTTCTCTGTACACCAGGCTGGTCTCAACCTCACAGAGATTCTCCTGCCTCTACCCCTCCCAGTGCTGGGATTACAAGTATGCTCCACCACCGCCTGGCTATTAGCCTGCTTTCTTATAGGACCCAGAACCAGCAGCCCAGGGATGGTACCACCACCATGGGCTGGGCCCTTCCCATCAATCACCAATTAAGAAAATGCCTTACAGCTGGACCTCAAGGAAACCTTTTTTTTTTTCTCTCTATTGGGGGGGGGGGTCTCTCTTTTCAGGTGATTCTAGTTGTGTCTGGTTGACATAAAACAAGCCAGACCAGGTCACGTGGCTTGGCCTGTTGAACACTGAGTGGACTTTGACCTCTTTTGCCCTTTTAGTGGGGGGATTCCTGTGCAGCTGGACTTTACACAGCTACTCTCCATTCCAATAGAAAACAAATAGACCCAACACGGAAGCAATCGGATTCATTTGGAAGGGAGGAGCAACGGTGGGGATAAAAAGATCAGTCCACCCTACAGGACAGAAGCAAACGCTCTCCTTAGTTCCTCCAGTTAAAATTACTCCCATCATTTTACATAATCACGGTGTTTATCCGTAACAATCTATTTTTAAAATCTTTATATAACATTTCACGGTCAGCTTCCATGATGCCTTGTATGTAGTAGAAACTCAGTAAATTCTTCTTGAGTGAGTCAGTACAGTTATTTTGATTAGCCAGTCTTCCTGTGCTGGTGCCAAGGAACAGTGTCATCTTACAGCTGAAGTCACAGAGGAGAAATAACCTGAGCCACTTCAGGTGCCTGGGGGTTAGCAGTCCATAGCTTCATCTGAACTCTTGATGGATTTCATCAGTATTAACTTTTTAAAAAATTACCTTCGTTAGTCTTTATATGAGTGGGGGTGGGGGCAGGGCACGTGCATGCCATGGTGCATGCCATGGTGCATGCCATGGAGCAAGTCATGGTGCACATGTGGAAGCTGGTTTGGTCCTCTTTTCCATCTAGATCAAACTCAGGTTGTCAAGCTTGGCAGCAAGTGCCTTTACCCGGTGATTTGTCTTGCCGGCTCAACATTCTTTGAGAAACTTTGATACAACACCTCCCCACACCTCCAGACTGCACAATGTAGTCCAGGCTTGCTCCTCTTGCCTCACTACTGGGGTGGTCTTGCAGGCCTCACTACGACAGCCACAGTCTCATCTAGATTTTGCCCTGTCTGTGAGACTAGATCCCAAAGAGTCTACCAACTTCTACCCTCGCCCACTGTAAATGTGTTAAAGACAAGGACAGAATTCTGTGCTGCTTCCATGAGGCTGTCTGTTCTTCATTCTCTCTTTTCTCCTCCCTTTCTTTCTGTTTTTTAAAGACAGGCTTAGTCCAGGCTGCCTCAAACTTGCAACATCCTTAGGTATATGTTACCGTGTCCCAATAAGGAATAAGGTTTGCACTCTCATTTTCTCTGACACAGGGTCCCATATAGCCTAGGCTAGACTCAAACTCAATATGTAGCAGAGCTGAACTCCTAGTCTTCCTAAGACACTGTTCTTCTTTTCTAAAAAAAATTATTTTTATTTTATGTGCATCGGTGTTTTGACATGGGTGTTGGGTCCCCAGGAACTGGAGTTACAGACAGTGCGAGCTGCCATGTAGGTGCTAGGAATTTGAATCCCCGCCCTCTGGAAGAGCAGTTAATGCTCTTAACCACCGAGCCATCTCTCCAACACTGCTCTTCTTGAAAGCTATACGAGGTACTTGACCAGACTCAGAAGGATAAATATTGCATACTTCCTTTCATATGCAAAATTTAGATATAAACACAAATACAAAGGACGTGAAACTAGAAGGGAGAGTACCAGGGAAAGGAAGAGATCTAAGGGGGTGGGAAGAGAGGCGATGAGAGAGGGACATGGGGAGGACGGAAGACAAATA